TCTCGCTGTACAAACGGATTGTGATGAAGTTTACCCATATACAGGCCTTTCTTAGGCGTTGATTTCAATTGTAAGACATCCAGTAAACGTTTAGAGTTGACGAAAATATCGTCGTCTGCTTTGAGAAGGTAAGAAAAATTACAATATCTGGCTGCCCATTCGAAGGCCATCTGTATCTTCAAACTCTGGTTCCAGTAATGTTCATAATAATCCGCACGGATCATGTCGCCATAGACGCTGTTTTCTGTTTTGAGCAAACCTGATCGTGCTGGATTCCGTGTTTGACCAAGGAGAAAGTATGTCTTCCACTGAGGAACGGTGCTGTTATCGGCACCCCATGTTTGACGAATCAAATATCTTCTTTCAAAATTTGCTGGTGCAGACGAGACCAGGATAAGCAGAGGGTAGTGCCGTGCACACACAGTCTTGGTTATCAAAGTAGTTTTGTGCTGGGGCGTTGCGTTCCACGGTTTAAAATCAGGAAGAATGGCAGGCAGTATTGTATTTAATTCAAAAAGAAAAAGAAAAAAATTAAAAGAAATATATCCTCCCTTAACGTCTTTGGCGCAAAAGGCTAGGGCCGCTAGGGAGGTTTGGGGGTACGCCCGAAAGAATGTTACTGTATTTATAATTAGGGCTCGGGAAATGTCCAAAATGATTGGAGGACGGGAAGGGGGGCGGGGAGAGGTTGGGCCGGCCGGAGCATTTGAAAATGTGGTGGATAGAAAACAGATGACCCAGTTTTTCCATTTGTCACCAAACTGAGTAATTCGCCCCTAAACGAAGGTTGAAAATTACATGACCCAACCCCATAATCAAGTTGTTGCATAACCCAACAAAATTACATTTTGTATATGAACTTGTGGTGTTATTTACGTTTTAGCTTTATTTCTTAACAATAATTCAACAGCATAAAGATATGATTGATCATCGCAGTTATGCACACAACTTAAACAGTTGTAAAATTAAAGCCTGGAAAAAATAATCTGAACGGGATTCGAACCCATGACATCCGCGAGACCGGTGCAGTGCTCTACCAACTGAGCTATCAGGCCAACTGGGAGCTGGTCTCATTGTGAGTTCGTAATATACCTGTAGATGGTATGTTAAACAATAATACAAAAGTATCTAGAAATGATGCAACCTTATCTAAAAATGATATTGCTTCCCTTTGCTCTTGCAACTTTAAGTCATGACCGCAACGTATAAACTCTTGTTCTTAATTAGGCAGTGATAAACATTGTATTCCAACGCATTTTAATACAGAACTTGATGTTTCGTATGCTAGTCAATCAACACAGATTTTCAAACACGACTCTTACAAATTTTTAAAACGGTCATTATAAAATGCAGACTGCAGAAAAAAATTATTGTGCCGTTTTTAAAAATCTGATAAATTTTACTTTGGGAGTTATCGTGAACATGGCCGGTTTCGGTCGGCTAGAAACCAATATGGCGGATCAAAGGACTTCTCGCCATCCGTCAATCCAGCTTACTATAAACGTAACTTTCACCATAAACCATTTAAACTGCTTGAGAGAGCTTTCTTTTCACTCACATTATAAGTCGAAAATTTCCCTGAAATTAAAAGTTTTGGTGAGCGAGCGAAATCCTGTAGTGCACATTCAGGCTGCTTTTGGGACACAAATTTACTGCGTAATGAAAGGCCGATATCTCTCATGTTATGTCGATTGAAAGTTTATTACAGGGTAACCTCGATATAACGAAGGGCCAAGGGACTGGCAAAATATGTTCGCTATATCGAGGTGACGTTACATCGGGTTCTTTTCCGTATGTCACGTTTACTATTACTGGGGCGAAGAATATCGTTCGTTATACCCAGCCTTTCATTATATAGAGGTTCGTTAAATCGAGGTTCCACCAGACTATTTAACCTGGGTGTAGAGTTTTATGGCAGTTTTGACAGGGCAAATTAAGAACTGGGAAACTTTTTTAGCACGAGAGAAAAAAATTAAACAAGTTGCTACGGTTTAACCATTTCACGCTCATTAACACGAACAATCATTGGGATGAAGGCAAAGATTTTAAATTATCCTTAATAATCGAGAAAGTGTAAACACATTTTACTAATTATTTAGATGTGAAAGAGTCAAGGAAAAAAATCAGCTGATTAAACAGTTCGACGCGAATGGAGACCGCTTGTATGTTTAAGGTTGATCTACATTTTTCTTGAAAATTATTCTGCAGTTGATAATATTAATGGCGACAAGATGACGCCGACAAGTCATGTACTAGCGTTTATTAATTTGTAACTTTCTAAACCCTATGTAAACAATAACGCATGAAGTTTGGCTGGGAGCACAAACAAATTTCAAGCGGACTGAAAGTCATTTTAACGCCGAAAAGACTTCTCCCCACACCAGAAGCAAGCTCCCAGAAACATCTAAAATGAAGAAGTCAGGACGGGATTTTATTAATAATCTCTTCCTGGAGAGAAAAAGTGGGTATCCAGACTCTCTTGCAAGTTTTACAAACACCTGAGACTATATGGGTGTATCTTAACGGTTATGTCGATTACACTCTTGCTATGGCAACTTCAAGAGACTAGTCACTTGGTAACGTTTAAGGTAACGAAACATCACATCACCCGATATATGATGGTAGAGCGATCTACCGTTGAACAAGTACCACATAGGGGATATTACTAGGCGGCGCGAAGATGTGAATTTTATTTTCGAGTGGTAAAAAAAAATATCGTGTTGTAGGAACGATCGCAGCGATAAAATATGTGGTAAAAGATTAGAAGCAGGCTGGCAACATTTGTCATATATAGCCTTTGAAGTATAAAAGGGCCGAATTTAAATTAGCTTTGTCGGAGTATGAAACACACTGCTAATTCACATCATCACTCCACGCGCAAGTCACGTGAAAGCTTCTGGAAGCTTTGCATCTTATGGAAAATAAATGCGAGTATCATAAAAGCCAGAGCGAAAGACAATTTACAAATTATTAAGGTTAATAGACCAAATTGATAGACCGAATTTTTCATTCGGTATGAACTGCACTACAATATTTTTTTTTTGGGAACATTAAGCTTCGCCAAGTGTTCACTTTTTTGGTGCTATGATTAATTCACCTGTACGTTATGTTTTGTTCTTTGTTTTGGGAACCGAATTAACTAGGTTTAACTACAACTTTATTTTCTTATACGCAAGAATAAATTACTTAGTCTTGAGGACACAATTTGCAAACTTGAACCGCTTTTTGTTTTCGTTATAGATTAAAATATTTAAGCACCGGCTAAGCCAGGAGGAAAAATGATTGAAAACGCGACACTCACCTTTTGAAATTTGCACAATAGCAACCGGACGGGCCAAGGCTATTTCTACACGGTGGGGAAACCCATTCATATAATTCACTCTCACGAATGACACGTACGTGTGTAAACTAACGTAAATTAGTAGAATTCTACAAGCACACTAATGTAAATGCTACAATCTGATTGGCTGAGCTACTCGAGCTACTCACTATCGGCCATTAGTGTGAATCAATCAATCAATCAATCAATCAATCAATCAATCAGTCAGTCAGTCAGTCAATTACTCAGTCAGCCAGTCAATCAATCAATCAATCAATCAATCAATCAATCAATCAATCAATCAATCAATCACTAACTTTATTAACGCGTCAAAATTCTAGCTCAAGGTAAAACAGTAAGCTAATTGGGGACACCTTCACTAATAAGTGGTAGTGGCTTTCGGACAATTTTCGTATTTCTATTTAGAACTGAATAGATTTTCTTATAGACGTCTTCCTCGCCGTCTCCGCCATATACGCACAAGGTACCTTATTTATCCAATATCTACCGAAAGAGGAAGATTGGGTACCACCGTAATTCAGCGAGCATGTTTTGTGACATCAAAGCGTACAAGTGCAGCTGCTCATGCGAGGATAACTTCGTTCTGTTGGAGGACTTACAAGAAATTAAGTACTACTTGAACACTCTGTTAGTTGTATTAGTTGTAATCCCCTTTATTTCCTCTTAGATGATAACTATATAACACTACAACTGCTTAAGGTGGCTCCATAGGGTAATCATTTATGGCGTTGCGCGCCAAAGTGTTATGTTTTGAATGTTGTTTTTGCATTCGCTTTCACACCCAGTCCTTGCAAACTTATTACATGTAATAACGAATGATTAAATAGTGTTTTGCTATCATCTCTGTTAAAATTTCGGGCTTTAGTCTTGAATTATAAATGCCCAAACAAATGTGTTTTTTTACTGTTTGTGCGGCTTTATTTGTGATTTTCTTCAATTTTCTTCGGTGAAATTTTCCAAAATTTTTACAACACATCGCTTCCAGCGGGATACGAATTTTAAACACGAAAAAGGTAGGGTTTGTCAAGGCAGTTTTTTCGATTTTTTCAAATTTATGTCCTTTACCGCTGCAAAAAATCTGGTCTTATAGATTTCCCTGAAAAACGAGCTCCGACTAAAGTAAAATATTTACAACCAATCTGCCAAATTTTACGAATTCCACCGAAGGAAACGCGAGAAAATTCACTATCAGTTGTGCTTTTTGTGCTCATGTTGACGTCAGAAAATATCCGAAAACACTGACGTTTTCCTTCGAGCGCGCATAGATTACTTGAGCTTTCATCTTCAGCGCGCGTGCGATCGTTAAACTATAGGGAGCCACCTTAACACTATCCGAAAAATAACTCTCGCACGCGTTGCGTGCCTATGTTTTCGCAATACCAACAGTCAATACACACGTACAGCGGAGTTTCCTCTTAAAAGTCGCCATGTTTGCTCTTTACTCCAGGATGATCAATCCATTGTTTATTTTCTTGTCGAGTAAACGATTTCGATCAAAGAGTAGTCAGATTTTTCATGTGCTGAAAGGCTTACTCGCACACTGTGGAGGAAGAAGAAGGGTAAATGTGCTAATTACCTCACAGATATCAAATGGGTAATAAGTTGATAAAGTCACGAAGTCGAACGAAGACCGATAAACCAACACCTGCCGCTTTTCCGCGTCAACCAATACAGCCATTGAGAGGTACAAGCTCCGTTTTCTCTAATTTCCCTCGGGTCATCGCTGAGTTGCGCCACCATCGCGGTTCTGCTGCTGGAGAAAGCGAAGAAGAAGAAGGAGAAGGTTCTGATAGCGACGAAGAGGTTCACTGTTGTCTGTTTGCACCTGACGATGAATCTGTTCTCGTCACCTGCTCGACTCCAAGACCTTGTGGGCCTTTTAGCCCTGTCATAGGAGTCGGCCATTTGAGAGTGTTTGATATCAATTCGAGTTCTTGCACGAAGGAAGTCATCACTTTCCATTCGCAAGAATGCGATATCTCGAGGGACGGAGAACTTATTACTTTTCTCACAAACTCCGGACGAGGGGAAGTTGCACTTGTCAAGCGAAACAGAAATTCCCGCAGTGGAATTGCAGATCGAGTCGATAAATTCCAGCCTTGCTGTACAGGCATGACTGGCCAAGCGCTTTCTTGCAAATTTTCACCCGATGCCAGACACATTGTGAGTGCTGCTTCTTTAGATTTTCATAGTATGCGCGAGACAAACGAGTTGAGTTTGTGGAACGTCAAATCGATGCAAATCGAAGCCAAGGTAGTTCTGCGCGATGTCACAGATTTTTGTGGATTTGTTACATGTTGCGAATTTTCTCCAGATGGCCAGTACATCGCGGTGTCAACATCTAAAGAACAGCTGTGCATCCTGAGGAGCAAAAATCTGGACGTTGTGACCGTTTTAAGGAGAAGATGTAGAGGAAATATGTGCTGGAGTGTTTTTAATCCGACGTCCAGGCACGAAGTGCTTGCGTGTTGTTTACAGGATGGACGCGTGGAAATCTGGCGCAAATTGGATATTCAGTCTGGGGCCTGTGAACTGCGATATGTTCGTGAAAGAGAGCGTGTGTCACGTGTCAGGCTATACTCTTGTCAGTATTCACCTGATGGCCAAATGCTGGCAGTTGGAACATCAACTGCCAGCATTATTATGCTGAATAGTGACAGTTTAGAAGCACTTTTCTATCTGGACAGTAAAACATCACCAAGCCCTTTTGCACCCAGACACAATGCTACTGTGCACGGCATCGCATTTTCAAAGTCGCAACAGTATGTAGCAGCTGGTTATAGTGATGGGATGGCAAGGATTTGGGCTATGCCCATAAGGTTTGATTTAAAGCATTTATGCCGAGTTGTCATCTTGCATCATGTACCGGCCAGTAAAATCAGTTCTCTCCCAGTCCCCAATGGTATTAAGACATACCTTCTGAACAGGTGTGATAATTAAAACCATGTCCATAAACATTGTAGCTATATTACGATACTGTTATTCATCTGGGACAGGTTGTTCGAAAGCCGGTTAATACTAACCCAAAATCAAAAGTTAACCAAAGTATCAATTTTTCTTGTATAAAAATGTTTTTCATTGCTTATGTATTGTGCAGTTTAAGATTATTAAGGAGGGGGTAAACATGAATTTAAGTTTCATTGCTTATGTATTGTGCAGTTTAAGATTATTAAGGAGGGGGTAAACATGAATTTAAGTGGGTTATGGAACACCACCAGACAGTTGAACGCCCCCGAAAGGGCACCCCAGGTTGGTGGACAACTGTTTGATGTACGTCTACCAATTTTTAACTCCAAATGCTAATTTTCAAACAAGACCAATTCTTCAAAATTTCCTATTTCCATAAATTTAACTAAATCTTTGAGAAAAACTATTTATCTCCAAACATAACTAAAAATCACCAAAAAATTTACAAAACAGCCCAAAACATAGATATGTGGGGTGAGCAGAGAGATTATTGACTGCTTGAACGAGATTTTTGCATTAAAACCATAATACCCAGCCAAAATATGGCCTTCATGTAGACTCCTGCCTTAAAACTCAAAACTGAAAGACAAATAATATAAACAGAAAACCTCACCAAAAAGTTACAAAATTGAAATCAAAATTCTCACTAATCCTGGGTTAGCTTAATCGTGTTTTGAACAACCTGGCCCTTTACAGTACCATTTCACTGTGAGTTAGAGAAAACATGTGAAATGCAATAATGTATGATACCATGTCAGGTTGCCATTTACATGGTCTTACATGAAGTGAACAGTTGGTTTATGCTTTGGGCAAATGGGGAGCAAATACCCCAAATGGAAATCCAAGATCACCAGGATCATGGTGCATCAAAGGACCCGAAAAATGCACTCTAGGCAAGGATTCTTCGATTTCTTTGCTGAATGTGTGATCTTGGATTGATCTGTTTAGTAAAGATTTGGGATTTTCCCAAAGTAATGCACCCCAAGTCAGTTGATGTGAATTACTCATACATGTGTAGAAGTACACTGTTTGAATTCTTTGTACATGTAGAATATTTGTTTATTTACACTATAACATTTACTGGAAAATGTACAGAGAGTTGGTTTTGACATTCAACTACTGGTACATGTTGCATTTTCTAAGATTGTGCTACATTGTCTGAACCATGTCACATATTTCTGTACTTCCTTTCTGACAATTCTCTGATTAGATTTTTCCGAATTTCTTCAGGTTTCAAAAACTCTTTGGCCTTGTACACAGGTTCCGTCATACCTGGGCAAACAAATATCTCTAAATTAATAAAAACCAGAGTATCCATCAGTGTAAATGAAATCTGCAGTGTATAAATAAAATTTGTATCACTAATCAACTGGTAACTGTCCTGCAATTTATTGTTAAATGCGTGACCCTTAAATTCCAGATTTATAAGTAGAGTGTTTTTTGGCAGGGAATTAGAACAGGAAAAAATCTATCTTGGGAACAACTCATGAAGTACATGTGTATGTATGACTCCCAGGAGGAATTAAACAAGCGACATGTACACCAAATGTGGGGCAAGTTTACCAAATATGATAACTTAACACTTACCCAATAGGCCAATACACTCAAAATAATTAACAATTATTGGACGAGGTTGTCAGTGGCGAGCAGATCATTTATTTTCTGAAGCTGAAGGCTGAGGCAAATAATTGATCAGCGAGACACTGACAAATCATGATGTTTTGCGATATATAACCGACTTCAATAATATTGTTGTAATGTAAAAATGTAAATCTTATTTATAGTGGTCATGCACTTAGCTATACAAGCAACTAAGCTTAGCTAGTTTACAGGCATGCCACTGAAACAAGGAAACAAATATTTCAAATAAACGTAACATAGTTAAAAATCCCAATTGGCAGGAGGCAGACCAGTTGGCTATTAATTGAGAAGTGTGACCGAGGATTTGAACTCAGGACTAATGAGGAACAAAACCCGCAAGTGACAGGGTGGAGGACTTGAACCCAGGACCTCTGGATTACAACACCAGCATCCTAAACCACTTGGCCATGCTGCCTCCGTAATGGTTTTATATATAATAACAAATTAATATTTTAAATAACAAATTAATATTTTAAGAGGAGGCCTCCAATCACCTAGAGGCGATATTTAGGAGGGTCCTCTAAAAAATAAAAGTCTAAAATATATGTTTTATCATTCAATCACCAAGTTTGTTTTCATATTTTAATCATTCTGACAGCTCAGGGAAGCAATATGCCATTTTTCACACAAGAGCTTGGTTACAATAATTATTACACATGAACAGAATAATATTTGCAGCAAAACACATTTAGATGGTATTAAGAATGAGCAGACCATTATTTGTAGGCTGTTATTTGCACTCTTGTCCAGTGAAACAGAAGAAAAAATGCATCAAATGATAATTATTATTATTAATAGTACATTGTAGGAAGGCCTTTATGCTCTAGATCAGGGATAAAATGAAAGGGATTTTCCACTTTTACATTACATGTAACATGTCAGATATCTATTGAGTATTCTACAAAAAAAATAGACCATAGACATATATAATTCAACATACACTAATATCATACAATGTAATGTACAAAAACGTTCAATCAGTGGTTATAAATAATCTTACTGTAACTGTAGCAGTCAAGACAATTAATACCCTTAAAAAGTTGATAAAAACATTCCCCACAGTTAGCAAAAGCAATTTTTTACTTTTGTTGAGCATCGTGAATATTTTTGTTGCCAATATCCGTTAAATTTGCCATATGATTCATTAATGTGGGCACGTGGTAACACAAAATACAAAACATCTTGTACAGGGAGGGGCTTGCAGTTGGTGAAATTACAGACCACATGTGTTAGGATAAGTAAATATATAGTACCAAGTTTCAACATCTATTAAGATTTACAAAGTGAAGTGCAAGGGACAGTGAATTTCTAGAACTTACATGTAGATCTATTTGAGTGTCAAGTGTGTTTATTATCTCACATTATATAGATCTACATATAGTACTAGAAGTAAGTTTTATTTTGAAGTGTAATATTTATGATTATAATAATATATCAACATTCCAATATGAAGTTGTACAAAGTCATGTACCTATATATTAAATAAACTATTATAGATACTTTAATACTGTACCTAACATTTCCATAAATGTTTGGGTGACACTCTCATCCCACGTGGCTTGAAAGAAGCACAAGCCAGCAGGAGTCAAATGGTTGTCGTGATCAGAAAGAAACTTAGCTAAGGAGAATGTACGACTGGTGATATCTCTGTTGAAAACAATAGTTAATTACTGGTTAGTCCACATTACAGAATAGTTTTTATCTGCTACTTGGAGGGTAAGCATCACGTACATGTACTGTAAGCCAGGTACATGTAAATGAAAGTACTCTGGATTACAGATTGAGTGGAGTGCAGTTTGAGCACAGGTAGGGGGTGTGTTGTGTTCTTTGACAAACATGAATCTCACAGAAGGGGTGATGAATGGTAAATGTGAGACTGCAAGAAGGCGAGACTAGCATTTTTGCAAGCCACAGGCATTTTGACTTCTTCAACTGCGAGACTGAGACTTCAATGTGTCATAAATGCGAGCTGCAAACAAACAAATTGATAACAGTAAACAAATCAAATTGGTACTTCAAGGCCCTTAGCTTTTCTTAGCCTCACAAAAAAAGAGACTCGGTGGTCTACAGCTTTGTAAAAAAATCAAGTGCGAGATGCACAAAAACGGTTACAAAACAAGACTGCTCAACCTGTAAAATTCAATATAATGTTGTGATATCCATGGTTTTTGAAGGACCATTGGCCACTCCTCACAGTATCTCTGTTTGTCCAGGAGTAAACTCTTTACAACTCTTTACTAACTCCTAGAGCACTCTCCAAACTTCTTGTAACTTTATAACAGAGCATTACTGTTATACACATGTAGCTCTACATGTGTACAGTCACACACATTTGCCTGTTGTGTTCACCTCACTGTGCTAAGCTTGATTCACAGTCTGGTACGTACCTTCCATTTCTACAGAGGTCATTTCCTAGATCCAGTTTACCACTTTGTTTGAGCAAACAGAAAACAAATCTATGAAATCCTGTTCCCTGGGCTGGCACTGGTGGCAGATATTCACAGAGAACCTCACCATTAGCTATTCTGGAGCCTGGAATATTTCCTCTGAACAGAAAGAAAAAGCAGTAAATATACAGGGGCGTAGCCAGGAGAGGGTTTCAGGGGTTCTGGAACCCCCCTTTTGGGTTATGAAAAATAAAGATATTATTTCAAGAGGAAAAAAGTATCAGAACCCCCCTTTCGAAATATAGCGAGACGAGATTTTCATTTTTGAAGAACAACAAAAGAAAATCAATTTAAAAAGGCATCACATGCTAGATCCCAGGTTACAATATTATAAGGGTACATAATGTAAGTTGGACGGATCATAGTATAGGAGCATGAAATGTGGAACTTTTCCATTGGCGGCACAATTGGCTAAAGGATCAAGACCTACCCAGCAGTGCAGATCAGGCATTAGAAGAATGCAACCATGAATTCTTTCCAAATGTACCTAAGTTGCTGCACATCTTATGTAGGTTGCCAATTACCTCTGAAGAATGTGAGTGATCGTTCAGCACATTGCGGCGATTGAAAACTTATCTGAGGGTGACCATGACCAGTGTGCGAGAGTCTGGACTTGCACTAATGAACATCCATTATGGTAGGCAAATTGACATTGGTGCAACAATGACATTTTTGCAAGGTCCTTGCAAAAATGGCAATTGTTGAAATTTGTGCTCGGAATCAAGGAAATGCCATTTATGAAAACCCAAAATTCAAAAATTTTCCACGGGAGTATGCCCCCGGACCCCCCTAGTAAAGAGCGCCTCCGTCACTCAATTGTCAATCAGGCAAGCAATATACATTAGGAACCCGTCTAAGCAAAAAGGCTGGCTACACCCCTGATGTATATTTAATAACAAGGCTTCTTAGTAATACAAAGTATGATTCATGATGCTTTCACAAACCACACAATGTGTTTGAAGTTCATATCTTATATTAAATAACAAAACATGTTTCAGATAAAATGTCATCCATTGTCAGTTGTACAAGATTACCAATTGAAAATGAGCAATAAATAATTTTAATAACAAATTATGCGTGATGAAAATAAGAATAATTAAGGATTATGATGCAAAACAGAAAAAAATGTGATAATGTTACACTAAAATAGCACAGTCAGACTAACTAATATGAAAGGGATAAATTAACTTGGAAATTAACTTGTACAGTGTACATGTACAAATAATTGCTTTTAATTAATGATTGCAGTACAAACTACAATTTTGTGGTTGATGACTCACATCATCCAGTGTAAAAATTCTGTATCCTTGTCTATCAGGTTGCCATCTAAAAGCAAAAATATGTTTATATAAATAAAATTTAATACTCCTTGGAATAGCTATTGATTACTTTTTCTTGAAATGACATACTTTTTATGCTTAGTCTACAGAAATTTTACAGTATATATAAAACTTTATATATCTATAAAAAATATGCACCGATCTTGGTCTTGAAACCCATTTCAGGGGGAAAAGGTTGGGAGAGAAAACAGAGATAAATTTAGGATTTCTGAGGACAAGAGCTAGAAGCAGGTCAAGGAAAAAGTGCTGTGAAGTATACATTCACCAATAATTATTGTACATACAGCCCAGAGGATGGGAAAGTAATGTACAATGTACAGTGTGTGAAATTGGTACAAAAATGATGTGGAGAGCAGAACCATCTGGTCCACTGCCTCCCCCCCCCATTACTGAAAGCTAAATGTTTATACCTGGATTAGAAAATACAAGTGTCCAATGGCTGTCTTCTGAGCAGACATAATTGACAGTTGGCTGACAAGAAGCCTATGACAATAAGAAAACTGTGACTAAAACATATCTTGATCTTGGACAATCACTGCACATGTTATATTTGATTTGTCCTAAAATAATATGACATTTTATTATATAGTTACAAGTGTTTTAGTGGAAAATACACCACTTTATGAAACTACATTTGTGATGTGAGTGGTGGACATGTATTTCTCATATCTTCATGTGTGACGAAAGGATATTGATGACTTCATTTTCAGCTTTTTTCACAGTTCTTTGTACAGACAGTCAATGAAAATGGCAAGCAATAAATTCTTCTATAGTCAGAAAAGAAAATTACATGGTGGCTGGTTAAAAAACCATAGTTCACTTTCTCGCAGTGCTTGTTCATAAAAATACTGTTATTTCCTACCATGTGACATCCTCTAAATAATGAGAGAATGATTTTTCATTCAAATTGAAAGTATTACTAACAGTATTGACCCTGACCTGAGAAGGTGTTAAAAAGTTCCCATTATGCACGTGATCTGTCTCCCCAAATGTAACTGACATCATCACTGTTGGTGTGAACTCTTCTCTATTGAACATGTGCTCAAAGATGTCATAATGCCTCGCAAGCTTTGTTGTTATGGAGAATTCACTCTTTGACATCCATTCCTTTCTCACTGTGTCCAGTGGTATGAGTACTGTTGAATTCAAAATCCCCTTACACTGTATGTCATTATAAGCTTAACACTATTAGTTGATTGTGTAAAATGCATATTAAAGGGCACAGATCCCGATCCAAGAATGGAGAAGGGAGACGTGGAAGAGGAGTGAACAAATGCAAGTGGTGCAATCTCTTCCTTCTGGACTTTTCGGTGAGCAACTGAATTTTGATCATTTTGTAAAAAGCCAAGAACATGTTATACTCATGGGCTTCAGAGTTGCAAAAACGTACTGCGCAGCTTTCTGTGCATCCCCAGCCCTACTTGCGGGCTCAGGTAATAATGCAGGCTGCAATAGTGGAAAGATCGGTGGACTGCTAATAAGCAGTAATAAGGTACAGTGTACAAGGATGTAGTTCGGTTGATTTACTTATACTTGGGCAAACATGAATTTTTTCGGCATTTCACTGTTAAGAAAAAAGCCTCCCCCTGCCAGCTGAGAGGCTCTCTTGCTTATATACACTGTATTCAGTGGGTTGCTTATATAGATTGAAGCAACATGCAAAGATGGTTTGTTGAAAATAATGTGTCTTTGTATACTGTGGGGAAAAAAAGAGTTCGGAAACCTTCTTAATGTTAATTTTAACCAAAAAAACTGATTCTCCAGGAAAACAATGCACCAGGTTTCCATTAGTGACATTAAAATGTTGCTGCTTACCTAGAAAATCAGGAAAGCATATAAAGTTCGTAACTCTTTTTGCTTACACAATCAACTAAATTCCTACCAAGTTTTCAAACTTGGGGCCTGGCAAACACACCAAAACTTGCATATACCTATTGCATTTTTCTGCTCTGAACTTATGGGCATAATGTACAAGTTAGAGAGGTTTATGTTAAAACACTAACATTCTCCTTGTCGTGCTGCTTTTTCCATGGCTGGATCTTGCCTGTTTTTCTTGTATATTGCTGACTTCATTTTCCTGAGCTCCTTCCTTTTTGTTGGCAGCTCACCATCTTCCTGGGATTTAGGAGCTGACAGAAATATATTTCAAGACATCACCTTGTAATTGACTACACAACCTAACACTTATCACAATTATCTCATTCAGTAATCGTTGGATGTTGTCTGAGCCTTGGGTGGAATATTTTTTCTTATCCCCGATGATGCCGCAGATCCGTGAAAGCTTGGATTTTTAAACGATTTAAATATCAATTTTACAGTAGTGTAAGGTCTCAATAGAACCTTTGTCAGTTTCATCTCATTCAGTGTAGTGTTTATCCCTACAGATTTTGGAAAGCCAAAGATATTCCGTCTCAGTATATTTGTATCAGGTTTTACAAAGCAGTGCAAAGTCTACATTCTTACACGTAGGTGGCAAATTGTAATATATCTAGAGTTTGAAATTGAAAAGGATAATTTTATGCTTACAAACAGAAGACATGCACAACAGCCCATTCCACTTCCTAAGGGCAACTTTACGAGATGTATTATTTTCTAGGAGTTGTACTTTCTAGAGAACTCCATGTATAAAGGCGTACTTACCTTCTGTACATGCGCTACGTGTCCTGATTTCAAACGTTTGCCTCACAAGACGCGAGGGGAAAGGAAACATTTCCTTCGAAACACGGAAAACGCACCAACTTTTCGCCATGTTGACCGCCATATTGAAAATGCTCGCTGGTTGTGCACATTGCGGGCGCGGTGTGTGACCAGATCCCCCACGGTCGACCCCACGGTCAAGACAATCGCCATCGAAGTAGGGAGAGCCGTGATTCAAGTGTTTTTAAAATTCGTTTAGTGTACTATGCCAACTTCATCTCAGTTGGTTTCTCTTGTGGTAAGTACTTTACAATTCAACGTTATCACAATCTGCCTAGAAATATTCAGCACATTGAAGTGATCATGTTTTTACGATAACTTGAAGTTCAGTGCAGTGAGCAATATCTAACGGCATATTGTGTCGGACAATTTGTAATCACGTTTGGACGGCCGTGTGGACGATCTTCTACTTCTTATTTGCCTGATTGGGCATGCGGAAGAGAGCTATGACAAAGGCATGGTACACCCTCAGTACCTCTCAAAGGGTTGCGTGTTGGGAGGCCCTGTAACTAGCCGCTGTTGTTATAGCACCGGTTATAGGCAATAGGAGCGGATCAGGTTGGTCCTGGTTTGGGGAGGTTGAGAGGGGTGTAGTGGTGGGGGGGGGGGGGGGGGGGGGGG